CCGGTTAAATGCACCACGCTTAATTGATTTTCCCCTTTTATTGAACGAAAAACTAAGGCAACTTTAAATCCCTATTAAAATATACATGAATAACATCGTTTAATTGAGTCCCGTTTAATTGAACAACTCGCTTAAATGAATCTCTTTTTTTGGTATTACCTTATAAAAACTGTGAAAAATTCCCCTGTTTATTGACCTGTTTATTCTATTTGTTGTTGTTAAACTAGCAATAGTAAATTTATTGAAAAATTAGATATAACGTATGAAATATTTTGTTTTCTTTGTAATATGAAATATTTATTTTTAATTTTTGTTATGTTATGTGATATAAAAATATTATGGTTTACATATTTTGAATTTGAATTCACAGTTACATTACTTAGATGGATTTAAAATGATGAAAAATTTAAATTTTAAAATTTTGAAATAAAGAAAAATTTGAGTTTTAGTATTTCATTAGTGTATCCCCTATTTTAAATATAGCTTTTTACCTAGGATATTTTGATAAGTATATGTAATAGGATATGCTTCCTATTGTTTTTATTAATTTTATGCAGTAGCAGGATCAAATTCAGTTAAAAACGATTCAGTTAAAAAAATTCGTTTTATTGCACCAATTGTTCAATTAAACGGGATTTTTTTAATTGATTTACCCGCTTAATTGATACAAAAAGTGTGCAACTTTTCTCGGTTCAATTAACCGGGGAGAACTGTATATGTATATATAATATTATGTGTAACAAATTTGGTTAAAATGAACAAAGAAATATGACATAATATTAAAATTTGTTAATTTCAATGCTAATTTTTCAATATTTTGCAATTATTATTGAAAGTATAATTAAAAATATAGAGTTTTATTATCCAATCATATTAATTGTATTAAATTTTTTTTTTTTATGAATCGATTTTTTTTCCATGTGAGCTATTCAGATAGAAAGCATACTGTTTATTCTAAATGAAAAAATGCAAAAAATAAAAATATAAAATTTTGAATTCCTTTTTATAATAAAGGCAATTTAAAAGCAATCATATTGCTGATTACATGTAACGCACATGCTAGTGAAAAAATATGAAATGTAATTTAATTATAAAAGATTTTAAAGTGCGTAGAGTAATTTTTAATTATAGACTATGAATATGGAAATGTGTATATTTAAAGTGTATTAAATTTTAAAAATTCTAATTGCATTTTATATTTTTTAAGATTATTGGCAATTGCACAGTATTTGTGTGTGTATTCAATTTGTTTATGTAAAAATAAGATTGTATTTTCGTCTTTTGCTGGTCTTTTTAATACATAATTCACATGTAGGGTTTCTGGACTGTTTTTAACAGTAACAGTAAAGCCGCTGTTTTTTTTGGAAAAAATCAAAAACAGCAAAAAAACAGAAACAGCTGTTTTTGAAATGCTGTTTTTAATGTTTTTCATTTTTAAATTTTAATTCAAATTTGAAAAATCCTAGCAAGCATGTATTTTTCAGTAAATCTTTATTATCATAATTCACAAACTATTTACAACAATTTGTATAAATATCAAGTCATCTTAGAAAATTTGAATTTTTACTGGAAAAAATTTCCTAAGAAATTGAAAAAAAATGTTCGTCTTCATAGTGGTCACTGGCTTTATTTAAAATTAGTGTTTCAGTTCAACGTCAACCACCACATAATTTATAAATAAATATTTCAACTTAATTGTTTGTAAATAAAATTTTGCACGAAAAGTAGTAAGTATATGAAAAATTATTTACAAAATTCCCATTTTGAAGTTATACAAAATTCCCATTTTTAAACCTCTTTATTATATTAGTAATGTCAGTCTGGGATCATGCAACAAAACGAAAAAAATTCAATGACCAAAGAATTAGAAGATTACGTCTATTACGTAATTAATTACGTCTATCAGACAAATCAATATTAGCATTGATATTTTTAAAATATTATTATAAAAAGTAAATTTTAAAGAATTTTTGTATCATAAATGTAAAAAAAAGTATGAATTAAAATAATAAATTGAAGTAGAAATTATTAAAATTTATGTCTTTATTAAAATTGTTATCTCTTTTCAGCTTTTCACTCTCATATATTGGAAAATTTATATGAAATTTCACTTTATATGAAAAATCAGTAAAACAGCTGTTAATAGCTGTTTTTTCAAAATTATAAAACAGCAACAGCTGTTTTTTCAAAACCACTGTTTTTCAGAAACCCTATTCACATGCAATTACAAAATTAAAATTTTGAATTGCATGCATGTGAATTTGAAATTTTGTATATATGTATATACATATGTACTAAATAAAATTTGGTGTAACTCAGAACTTGGTCATTTTCGAATTACCAAAAAAATTGTTACAGGATTTTGAATAACTACAATTTAAAATTTAATTTTGATCTTTTGTACAATTTTAACTGTGTAGGTTCTGTTATGTTCAGTTTACAACGATAAATAAGAATTTAATGATAATCACTACATCAACTAATTCATATTAACTTTTTTTTAAATAATGGACCTCAGTATTAGGATAGAACGAATTAAACTTGTGCAGAATTGAAAATTCAATATTTTCTGAAATTATTTTCGGAAATAAATAACAATTTCTGCGTCAGTATCATGTATATATCACAGGTTTTGGACAAAAGATTTTAATAATGAAATATAATTAATACATACATTTATTTTATTATGATACACTGAACAGTTTCTGAAATGCTATATACCAATTTTTTATAAAGGTGCTTGACTGGTACCCTTTTCAGTTTCTTGATCGCATTTAAAATTCAATATGGTTCTTGAATTTTGAGTTATCGATGGGTGGGATGGGTGTACACAAAATGAAAAATTTATAGTTCGTATATTCGTATAGTGTTGTTATAAATTCAACATTAAAATTTATTGAAATTTTTTAATATATTATATTTCAGTAGCATTAAATCTATTGAATGAAATTGAATTTTAACAACCGGTTATAAAAATTACTCCTATACCCGATATAGAATCAAAATTTATAGATTTTCTTAATTTAAATTATTATTTTTTTTTTATAAATAAGCATGAAATAAAATTTAAGAGGGTAAGCATTTTAAAATATTATAATATGTTGTAGTAATTTTAAATTTATATTACACAAATTTTATTTAAAAATGCGTATGAAATAAAATTTATTATTGATATTATATAACCATGGTCTATGTTATAATGGTTATGGTCCATAAATATATGGTCTTTAAAATTATATTTGCCACTAATTTTGTATATACAAAGAATAAAAAATATGAATAATTAATTTACCTAATTATGTGCATTTTAAACATTTGATTAACCTGGAATGGGACAACTTTTTTATATATATTTTAAATATTATATATAATAATATTCAAGTATTTATTCGTACCGATTTAAAGACATTAAAAATAATATTTTGAATCACCATTTATTTTTTTGTATATACGCTATTTTTGAATTATTTGGGATATGGTTCAATGGAATTCACGGTATCGAAGAGTAAAATGCATATCGATTGTTAATTATACAAAATGCGTAAATCAATATTAACATAATTAGTAATTGTTACTTTATTTGTGTATGCTTTATAATATTGATAAAATTAACAGCATTTTGATAATACACTTACTACTCAATAACTAATACACTTACTACTCAATAACTAAAAGAAAGTGAAAACAGTAAGAAAATTGAAGAGTTTTAACATTGAAAAATACTCATGTACTTTCTTAGTACTCAGTTAGGCCTTCTTAGATGCATTTCTTTCTATATTAATCAAAAAAATATAGTTGAATGAATTTTAAAACTTTCATTACTACACATATGAGGAAGAGCTAGAGGAAGTATAATTTTTAAGGTATTTATTGTGTAATTTAACCCGAAATTGTACTTCGAAATATTAGGTTTGTTTGTTTTATTTTAAATTATTAAAAGTATACACTCTGCTTATTTTTTTGCACTTAATATTTTAGCACTTTTTGTTGCTTTTTTTTTGTGTTTTTTTTATATTTATTAAATTAAAACTAAATCACAAATATTAGTAAAGATCAAACCCCTGATTTACTTATCATAACTTCCATCTCAATGGTGGTAATTTATTAATTAGTCACTTATATTAACTTTTAGTATAATTATATTAACAAAGTTTTATTGTAATTACGACGATTCAAATCTTTATATTAATATTCAATTAATTCTTCTGAAAAATGCGCGGAAACTAGGAACGACAGAGCAGATTTGGCCCGTCCGTTAAGTGGTAAAATATTCATGAAGATCTTCTAATGATAACTAAATATATGGAAAATTTTCTGGTAAGAGAAATTTATTTAAGCTGGCCTCCTTATTTAATTAACTCAGCTGTTTTTTTTTCTCGTATAGAAAACAAAGTAAATTTCCGTTTACCCCAAAATTCTATATTATTGCAGAATTAACCTTGACCTCACGAAAATATTTTTTTTATTTACAATATTTTATAAAAAAAATAAATTCATTACTCATTTACAACAATATTAACAGAACTTCACTAAACAAAACATGTTATTTAACAAAAATTTTTTAATTAAAAGCAAAAATTTAAACAAAAAAAACAACATTTCATAAATTAACTTAAAAAAAAAATAAGAAAAAAAACACTTAAAAAATTAATATTCTAGTTTAGTGGGTTTGACAAAAGATAAAACTGAATACCTATCATGCAATAATATTTCTATTTTTAGAATATCCATTGTACTTTTGTCTACATATCATCTCACTCATATATAATTAAAATCTAACACGTTTGACAAATTCGAATAATTTAACTATTATTGTGTGCCGAACATTTTATTTTTGTTACAAAATCTAAACGACATTTTGCACTAAATTTATTCAAATAAAAAAAAAAAAATGTTTTTTAACAATAAAATTAACTATAAAAAAACCAAAATAAATGAAAACGCGTCATTTATAACAATATAAAATCAATTTAAAAAAATATATATATGTATATATTTACACATTGCTGAAGGCCATTGTCTATAGGTTGGGCGATTTGTTGTACTATTATGCGATGAAGATCGCCTACGAAAAAACGCTGGTATAAAGTTGCTCATATTTTATGTTTATAATAACAATATAATTTAAAAATCCGTCAAAACTTTGTCGAATAAATGGTAAACTTAATATAATAAATAATTTAATAAAAATATTACAATATTTGTAAAAAATTAAAAGCGATCAAATTCTCTCGAGTAATATTGGACGCGCTTTACTTATTTTTATTAAGTGACTTCTTAACCGTACGAATGATTTTTTTATACTAAACAATAATATCATTGGATGTGAAGATATTTATTTCTCATTTTTTTTTTATTTAACAGAATAAATCAATTCTTTAGAAGCTTTTCAGAAAATTCACAAAAAAAAAGCACAAAAAAAAAGGCAATTATGAATTTTTTTTTAAATGAAAATCTTATTTTAAAATATTAAAATTTCATTTCGAAACAACTATAGGATATTTACAAAATAACTCAAATTATCAGTATGATAAAATTTAAAAATTAATTATCAGAATCTCTTTCAGAATTGAAAACTCCGATCAAATTGGGACATCTGGTAAGCTTTAACATAATATATGTACTTACATAATTTTAAAAATTTTTTCTAACAAATTTATTCTTGTTATTGTTCTAGGAATAAAGGGGAAAAACAGTACTATACATACAAATGCTGAACAGGTGAATGGCATATACATTATAACAAAACTACTATCGACCGCTTAAAAAATAAAAAATTTGAATGTGATATGCTCCCGATATAATTCTTTTAACGTATATTACAAAAGTAGGCTTCAGCTTTTGGACTTAAGGTCGTTTCGTTGTTGTGGAACGGTTTCTGATTTAGTTTTCATTCATCAAGTTGTCGTGGGTAAAGTGGTTGCTCCGGTTTTAATGGGTCTAATTTCTTACAGGAAGAATCCCAGTAACTCAAGTTCGGTTGAGCTTTTCAATCTTCGCATCATAGTACGGACTATGGAATGCATGAGCCAATGACGCGTAGGTCGCGCGAAAAAACCTACTGGTTATCCATACCTTGGTCCAACTTCGGTTGAACCAAGGTTATTTAATTTTTAATTTATAATATTTCATATACTAATATTAAATTTATAATAATTTTATTATTTTTCCTTCACCTTACCCTTTCTATCACATTTGTTGACTAAGTGACGTTTATAATGTCATACTAAAATACTTGTACTAAGCAATCGTATGATATAAACTATATAAACGTTGACAATATGTTATGATACCTATACATTTTATATTTAATATTTAATAGAATTATGTAGCATTTTCTATTGAAAAATTTATTGGATAATTGGGTTCTCATATTGATTTTGGGCGTTTTGACTTGAATCAAACGCTTTATATTTTAATTTTTTTTTTGTATACTATAATTGAAAAATTATTCAACACTTCATTAAATAATATGTTTAATGTACTTACATATGTACATATATTATGTATTTAATATGTATGAACGTCATATGTGATTTCATTTAAAATAGCAACAATGTGACAAATGCTAATATATACATATATTGTTTTCATTTTGTTTTATTTATAATTTTTTTATTAATTACAATATTTGATTACCATTTTATTTTTCTATTTATTTTTAGACAAGATCAAAGTTAAAGATTCGATTTCATCACGTGAACTAAATATGAGATATTTTCACAGGTTGTAAAATTTAACTGGAATTTGGCAAAAAATTATAATTCTAAGTATGTATTATATATGTATGTAGATATGTTGTGGTTATGGTTTCATTGATCAATGAAAATAATATAAAAATTTGATCTTAGAAGAGTTGCATTTGATCTTACGGGAGTAGCACTTTGGAAATACATTTTAAAGGCATTTAAATTTCATTTCTACTATAATTATTTTTTTTAATTAATTTATACTTGTTGTAATAATTTTAATTTTCCCAATAAAAATTTTCAATTATGTACACTAAATTTCTATTTAAATCTAAAAAAACTAATTCTAACAGATTCGTCATTTTCAAAAGTAAACATAACCACAGCATTATTATTTATTGAATTATAATTAAAATTAGAATAATAATTTTTCTATATTTATAATTCTAATAATAGAACAAATATTTCTAAAATAATACATGTTGCATACTAATAATAAGTAATCGCAGTGAAATGCATACTAATATTGTAATAACTTGCGTAATTATGTCATTTTAGCAAATATGGAATTTGCACTGCTTATCAACAAGTTCTTGTACATACAATGAATCTTGGGATTTGTTTGCATTTAATTTTGAAAAATATATGTACGTATATTAAGTAGGCTATTTCGATTTAATTTAGACTTGAATCATAATTTTACTTTCTTTGACAATTTCAATAATTGATAACGGGAAATTTTTCTACAGTTATATATGTAGAAAGAAAATATTTGTGCTTTAGCTATGTGTAATATTGATCAAGGAATTTTTTTTTAAATTCATGATCTCATTTGAGTTCAACATAACATAAAAATGTGCTTTATAATAACAATTGTTGTGTTATTATTTACTTATAGATATTTGAAGTATAGATTTTAATAATTAAAAAAATTTTAAGAGCAGGATTGACCTCTAAATTTATAATTCATAATTATTGGGTTAAAAAAGAGCATTATATTATTTCGTTGGAATGTAAATTACTGTTTTTGGCTAATAGAAAGCATTGGGGAATGTTGTATGTAATTAGTATTACTATATTAGTACGGATTTGCGAGGCAACATTATACTGTTATATGAAATAATTTTTTGTTAGTTTGTAAAAATGAATTTTTTAAAAATAGAAATGATTTTTGAAATTTAATTATAATTAGACTAAAAATTAAAGTTTAAAATTGGATCTGATCCTAAATAGTTTTAAAATAAATTTCGCATTGAGCTTATTTCTTTTGCCCATATCAACACATACACGATATCTATGAATAATATTAAAAGTCTAATGAAAATAAATGTTAGAATTAGAAAAATTTTCAAAAGTAATATGACTCGGCTTTAAACATATCTCAATTAAGAGTCTGCGAACTGTAGGATATACACATTTTTGAAAGCTGCCAAATATTATACATTAATCAAATTAATAATTAAAATGATTCTGTGTCTTTTTAGTTTTTTTTATCTCTAAAATCTCTAAAATTTCTAAAATTTCTTACAACATTCAAAAAGTTTCTGTTTTTTTTTTTTAAATACTGAAATTGACTCACATAAATAAATTCGAAGATGAGGATCATAAGATCCTACAGTAAATCTGAGTAATAACGTATATTGTATAAGAAATTATGAATAATAATTATAAATAAAATATGTATTTTAAATTCAATTGATGTTCTTCAAAGCTATTTCCGAAACTACTTTAAGCAATTAGAATTAATCATAAAATTTTGAATCGAGAATTCTCATTAGAAATTGCTGCTCTTTGGCTTCTGCAAAAAAAATTAATTATAAAAAAAATGTTTTATTTTAATTCGGGATTTCTTTATTTCTTCTTTCGAACTAAAATTAGAGATGCTAACAATAAAAAGTAAAAGTTGTTTAACTGGGTGAATCCCTTTTCATTTTGATTTTGTTTTTTTTTTTTTTGCTATGGACAATGAACATATCATTCATCATAATATATGTATGTATTCATGTGTTACAATTTGTCTACATTTAAATGTAAAATATAGAGTAGGCGACACGACGTTTGATGATTATCGCTTCTACTCAATAGAATAAAAGCTTTAGATCGTCTGCGATGACGCAATGAAACGATAACAGAAAAAGTGTGTAATAAATTTTAAAATAAAAAGAAAATTAAGAAAAAAAAATAAAATTTATTTTATGAGTAAAAACATGATTTTATGAATGAATCAGAATGAAAAAAAAGAATAAAAAATAAAAGAACAAAAGATAAAAATACTCGTGTGTTGACAATTTGTTCAGCGTGTACAATGGAATGATATTTTTATCCGCAAATTTTATGTTCTTGGCGGATTTAATACAACAAAAAAAAAATTTCCTTACCTACCTGTTAATAAAAATATGCTAATAATGAAGTGTGATGTAGTTCCGTTTCCAGATATTTATATTTATTGTGATGATGCTATATGCTATTTTGTTTTACTTATTTTTCTTTAAATTGAAAATATTGTGATCAAAGTAAAAAGACAACGGGGGCTTGACGAAAGACACCACTGTTACAAGTTTTTAAAAATTTTGAAATTATTTGAGAGGGTCGTATTTAACTCGTTTTATTGTTTTCGAGAGGGGTTATAGGTTTTCCCAATAACTCCTTTTGATAAGCAATAAATCGAATTCTCGTTCGACATCAATTACATTTCTTATAAGTAAATGTAAAATTCTCAATTTATTAATAGAAATATTTTGTTTGTATAAGTAAATAATTTATAATATAAACCTGCTGTTAACATTGAGATATACAAAAATATGTGAGGTCAATAAATATAGATTAGGTAAAGTAAAAGTAAGAGTTTCAAGAGGCACGTATTTTTTTACTCGATAGCTATATTTGCGTAAGAAAAATTAATTATTGAAAATATATAAAAAAATTATAATTTCTTGGCATAAATTTGCGTAAATGAATGCAGTGACATAGACATTCCATGGTAGTAAATAAATAAAAAGAGGATTGCAAAGCATCTTTTCCTGATGCATATTGGTACTTGTACACATCAAATTATGACACTAAATAAACAGTTAATAGTAAAAAAAAATATTCAGATAAGTTTTATTACAAATACTTTTGTTAATATTTGTGTTAAAGACACATTCACTAATATTAATTTGCTAGTCAGTCAATATTAAGAAAATATTTTATTATAATAAATATATTTTAAGTGCATATACATTTATATATACTATGTGATTAGTGCATTTACAATAAAATTTATTTATTCTTATTTACATATTCATTTATATTTTTATTTATTTTATTACATAATTTTTATCAGAAAGATATTAGTAAGAATTGGTATTTGCTCTCGAACTGCCACCGAACACCTATAAGATATATGTATCCGTATACTTTAAATTGTGTGCATATTGTTAATGAATTTATGTGGAACCAGTTTTTTTTTCTTCAAAAATTCAAAATTTATAATAAAGATCTTACAGTTTCATGTGTGAAAAATTTCATTTCTTTGAAACTTATATAGGTACTATGTTTCAATTTAATTGATGCGTTAATTTTAATATGTTTGATATTTTTTTAAAATGAAACA